AAAGAGAACTATGACCCTTAAAAGCTCTATTATCATGAATTTAAAACATCATTATGGACCTTATACATGATAGATAGTATATTAAGCTGTTGTATTTTAATGAGTTAAACTGGGTCAGCAGAACTGAAGCATTTCATCTAAAAATGTGTTCTGAAATCTAAAACAAAATCAGTTGACTTTACTCTGCCTGACAGTTTAATGAAAAATATATATATAGTGTTTCATCTTAAAAAGCTGCAAGATTAGTACACAGTTTCTAGAGTAGCTGCTCCACAGCAGACAGGGAAGTATTTCAGTATTCAGACAGGAATTCATTGTGAAAGCTGCATTGCCTCTTATCTTGAATTTAAAACATCATTATGGACCTTATACATGATAGATAGTATATTAAGCTGTTGTATTTTAATGAGTTAAACTGGGTCAGCAGAACTGAAGCATTTCATCTAAAAATGTGTTCTGAAATCTGAAACAAACTCAGTTGACTTTACTCTGCCTGACAGTTTAATGAAAAAAAGAAAATATATATATAGTGTTTCATCTTAAAAAGCTGCAAGATTAGTACACAGTTTCTAGAGTAGCTGCTCCACAGCAGACAGGGAAGTATTTCAGTATTCAGACAGGAATTCATTGTGAAAGCTGCATTGCCTCTTTCTCTTGTGCTTACGTAATCATAGCAACCCAGGTTTTCTGGGTCTGTTTTTTTGCACATAATACAGGATTTTTTTTTTTTGTCCATAATTCATTTTAATAATGCAGCCACACAATGCTTTCAACATGAAGCCTGGTTTCAAAGCAGATTTGATTTCATTATTTTTTTATTATCTCTCTGTGTCAGTTCTCTCCCTTGACTTTCACCTCTCTTCTTTATTTCCTTTTCTTTAGGAAAAGAAAAGTGTATAGATGCTAAAACTGTACCATTATAATAAAAGACAAGACACAACATTACTTCAGGAAGTCAGAGTGATTGTAACCGTGTTCGGGGCGATAGTAACACTTCAACAGTACATGTAATAATAGTCATTTTAACCCAGTTGATTCATCATATTATTAGTTTAAAATTAATACAAATTATTTTCATTTACCCCTCAGCGCAGACACAAAAGAGAACTATGACCCTTAAAAGCTCTATTATCATGAATTTAAAACATCATTATGGACCTTATACATGATAGATAGTATATTAAGCTGTTGTATTTTAATGAGTTAAACTGGGTCAGCAGAACTGAAGCATTTCATCTAAAAATGTGTTCTGAAATCTAAAACAAAATCAGTTGACTTTACTCTGCCTGACAGTTTAATGAAAAATATATATATAGTGTTTCATCTTAAAAAGCTGCAAGATTAGTACACAGTTTCTAGAGTAGCTGCTCCACAGCAGACAGGGAAGTATTTCAGTATTCAGACAGGAATTCATTGTGAAAGCTGCATTGCCTCTTTCTCTTGTGCTTACGTAATCATAGCAACCCAGGTTTTCTGGGTCTGTTTTTTTGCACATAATACAGGATTTTTTTTTTTTGTCCATAATTCATTTTAATAATGCAGCCACACAATGCTTTCAACATGAAGCCTGGTTTCAAACCAGATTTGATTTCATTCTTTTTTATTATTATCTCTCTCTGTGTCAGTTCTCTCCCTTGACTTTCACTTCTCTTCTTTATTTCCTTTTCTTTAGAAGTTGCCACTTTATTTAAAGCTAGATTTTACTACAAATCTACTTTATATTATTTGGTGTAAAAGTGTATACATGCTAAAACTGTACCATTATAATAAAAAGACAAGACACAATATTACTTCAGGAAGTCAGAGTGATACAATGTGGAGGTGATTGTAACCGTGGTCGGGGCGATAGTAACACTTCAACATACAGTGCATGTAATAATAGTCATTTTAACCCAGTTGATTCATCATATTATTAGTTTAAAATGAATACAAATTATTTTCATTTACCCCTCAGCGCAGACACAAGAGACCTCAAACACCACTGGACTGAAGAGAAATGATTTTTCTCATACATTTTAATAGATGACTAGTAAATTTCCTTTTGACTTAATGGAGCAGAAAGTTTGCTTAATCATGTGAGTTTTCTGATTCACTACTGAATGGTTTAAAGAACTGGTTATGACTTTGGTTAAGTCTAAATTGCATCAGTATCTGGTTTATTATAATAAAATAAAATGGAAATTAAAATTTTAAATAAAACGTTCACTGGAATAAAATATATAAAAACTTTTTATTTCTGCAACTAAATAATTAAATAACTAAATAACAACTAAAATAACTCAAACTAAAATGGAAAATAGAATTAATAATTGTTATAATATATATCATTATACAAGATATATTATAATTATGATATAATTATATATAAAATGGTATTTATAATTTATTTACATATAGAATTATATGACAAAAACACACAACAAAATTACTAAAACTTTAACTAAAATTAAAATTTAAAAAAATGATGCAAAATATTAATAAAAACTATAATAGTATATCACTGATACTAAAATAACACTGATCAGTACACACAATAACTACTTGTTTCTGAATCTCATAAAAGTGCACTCAACGGGGAAATAAATAAATAAAATAAATAAATCTATTTTTTATCTCCAATGAAAATAACATGTACAGATTCACTTCAGAGATTTACCTTCTCATGCTATGCTGCCATGTTGCTTTTTTAAACCAAATGTATCAAATAAATAAAATAATATAATGACAATTCATAAAATATAGAGATTAATAAATTCTAAACTTTAATTCTAATTCCTAATCACATTTTAAATTAAAAATAAAAAAATGATGCAAAATATTAATAAAAACTATAATAGTATATCACTGATACTAAAATAACACTGATCAGTACACACAATAACTACTTGTTTCTGAATCTCATAAAAGTGCACTCAACAGGGAAATAAATAAATAAAAATAAATAAATCTCTTTTTTATCTCCAATGAAAATAACATGTACAGATTCACTTCAGAGATTTACCTTCTCATGCTATGCTGCCATGTTGCTTTTTTAAACCAAATGTATCAAATAAATAAAATAATATAATGACAATTCATAAAATATAGAGATTAATAAATTCTAAACTTTAATTCTAATTCCTAATCACATTTTTTGGGTTATTTAGTAGCCTACTTAAAGGCATTTTGTTTTGTTTGTTTTAATCCGTGTTGGACTGAGAGGGTTCGTGGCGTCATAAGGCAGAGCTGATGACGTCATGAGGTATTTCCTGTAGGGCGGGGCCTGTCGGAGGGTCTGCTGAGTGACCTCATTCTTCTTCACTCAGCGTTCAGCAAACACGTCTGCGATAAACGCTGCCAGCGGAATACTCCTCTTCCCCGCGGAGACACGCAGAATGGACTGTTTGCTGTGATTTGTTTTTGACTGAAGGATTTAAGAGAGGCTCTTTTAGGGTTATAGAGAAACAGAAGGATACACGTTGACAAAAGACCCCTATGAGGCTTCGAACGTGAAGAGAGAAAACTAGTAATAAAAGCCATAAGGTAAAGTTACCGTCTCAATGCTGCCCGCCGAATGTAAGGACGCAGTTTTCACCGGGGCTTTGTATTATTTTCTTTATAGAAGTGATGAAGTGTTTTTTTTTTTATCAGATTTAAAGCGAGAAATGTGTGCTAAAGTTGCTTGTGTGGCTCGAGTAACGGTGCGTCCGCAGATATTTTAGGTGGTTTATAAAAAGAGGTTTTGCTTCTGGTAGGTTAGTCCTAAAGCTGCTCACAGACATCTCTTTGGCAGTTTACAGTTTACTTTACTTTTTAGATGTTCCATCTGTTTTCTATATCAATATAAATACAGCACTACATTTGTTGAATGGGAGAATAATATTTATAAGCATTTTGTGCCTATATACTATTTTCATTAGAGTCGAGGGTTTTATTTAAATTGTTTATTATTTATGTATTTCTTAGTCTAAGGCAAAAGGGGAAAAGGAACGATGACGTAGGCTATAGAACGTTTGAAAGTGTCATTTTACATTCGAATCTAGAGCTCGAGCTGTAGGTTTCATGTGGAACTTGATTTGGACTTTGAAAAATAATTCTAAGAATCATATTTTTCAATTCACATAGGCTACATTGTAGAAATAAGCCATGAAATAAGAAATAAACAATTAGAAGTACTTTGCTTTCATGACTATGTAATGAGAAAACAGATGAGCAAATTCATCTATCCAGTATTTAAACACAAGCCATGGTGTTGATCTGGACTATACAGTACAGAATGACTGTATACTGTATCTACAGACGTTTCTGCTTTTACTGTATGACTAGGGTACATATTGGGCACAAATGGAAACATGAGTGAGAGAAACACACACACACACACACACACACAAATATATTTGTCATGGTTTCTGTTTAAAATCAGTTTCTCAAATATGACCAAAGCAAGTTTGTTTCCTAAAGCTGACATGTTCTTTTGAAATGTCAATACGAAACAGACTGCATTGATTAATTGGACGCAGTGACAGCCTTGTACCCATTTTAATCTGAAAAGGACGTCTGGCTGCTCTGTCCTTTAGAACAACCTTGCGTCTGACAGCAGAGGGGCTTTTTTAATCAAGTGAATGGGCGTAAGACTCAGTGTAGGTGGAATAAGTCATGTGCGATATATATATCGTAATTGTTGTTTGAACGATGTGCGATTTGACATTATCGAATATTTTGCAAAACCCATTCAAAACCCATTCTGAACACAACTGTATTCTTTCATGGAATACAAACGATTTATTTCAAGATTTTTTTTCCACTAGGGGCTCAAACTCCCCAAAATGACAAAAAAAACACCATAAAAGTAGTCTATATGACAACATGTGCTGTATTACAAGTCTTCATTTCTCACCTTTCTGATATCGGTATGACTGGTTCAGCTCTTTCCTGGCTCATTTCCTACATCAGTGATAGAAAATATTATATCACCATACAAGGGTATAAATCTACCACTGCTCCAGTTTCACAGGGTGTTCCTCAAGGTTCAGTTCTTGGTCCACTTCTGTTTATCATTTATATATATATCCACTTGGTGACATCCTACGCATGCATGGACTTCAATTTCATTGCTATGCTGATGACATTTAAATTTACCTAACCACCAGCTCTGATAGGTCATCACTGCCTGATTCACTTACTGCATATTTGGATAATGTGGCTATATGTGGCCTTATGTGTTTGTATTGTGTATATGGGTGTGCAAATGTTTTGTTAGCATTATGTAAAGTGACCTTGAGCTATGGAAAGGCACTATATAAATAAAACTTCTTCTTCTTCTTCTTCATACAAAAGCTTTAAGTGAGGAAAAGACTGAAATGTATCTCTTTTTTTTCACTGCAAATCTTCCACTGTAGCTTATAAATTTTATTAAATATGCCCATTGAACAAAGTATGATCAATTATACACGATACGATAGTCAAAGAAATTTGGCATCATGACATCAAACCTGGTGTTACAAGTCTTGAAATTTCATATCTGAATAAACAAAAACATGTGAGGATACAAAAGTTATACGTAAGTTTCACACAAAGCCACGTCTATGGTTTTTGTCGTGTTTGGACATTTCTGGCAGTGTCCACAATTATTATGAGTTGCTTGGACACTTCTGAGACATTTTTTTACCCATTTTCTGATATTGTTTCTTCTTGCAGACCATTTTATGCTGCCTAAAAATGTCTCTTTTTTCACATACGTTGCACTTTGTTCTCAGTGTCTGTTTCTTTATTATTGGGTCGAGACTTAAATCTTAAAACACATGTTTCTGGAGGAACTCGACTCTAAATGCCCCAAATTTTCTTCTCAAAACATTTGGCTTTTTCAGAGAATTGCTCTACAGTAGTATTCATTAATGCATATTTTTTGGCTTATAAAGGATTAAAATCTGTGACCGTGGGCACATTTCTTTTAAAACCTTTTCTCAAATGTATGTTTTCATGTCCAGATAAAGGAGCTCAGAATGTGTGTCTCTCTCCTCTCCACTGGCAATATCTCTTGTTTGATGTTGGTCTGGAAAACAGGCCCCTGTCTAATCTACCCCCCCCCCCCTATTTCTTTCAAGCCGTCCACTCTTGTCTGATCTCGGTTCTCATTGCTCTTACCGGTCAGCCAATGAGAAAGAACCTTTTTTTGCCGGTGCACAATGTAAGCAGTATTCATGTGAGCCAGCGGAGGTCACACAGTAAATTAGCTTGAAATTGATCTGCAGTGGCATGTGGTCAATGCAGGATTGTGTAGCTGGTCTCTCGTCCGTTTAACCAATCTTCTTGCTAATCTGTCATGAGTAAAAATGCTGAAAACAATCGTTGCTGCTCATGCTGAGTGAAGGGAATAGAAAAGAAAACAATTTTACCAAAAAAAAAGTGCTTGTAGTTAATATGTATTAAATGCAAATGCAAATTATTTCCATATGTTAGCAGCTATTCACCTTAGATTGTAAGGTGTACCGTTATTCCTACTTTTACAATGAGCATGAATTGGTTTGTTAAGGACTTTGGGGTAAGTAGATGGCCTGTAGTATCATTAGTTTGGGAAAGTTTTGAATCAGTTGTGCACAGTGAACAGCTGGTGTTGTACAGCTGTGGGTAGAAATGCAGAACCAACCATTCAAAAAAAGAAAACCAGATATGAAGTGATTATTGTTCCTCATCTGGGATAAATTCTCACCAAACAGGAAGGTTAATCTTAATTCTGTTGCCCTCATGTGAACTACTTTCAGGTCAGTTAATGTTGCTGGAAGTCATTGATGTCACACTGAAACTGATTGGAAAGAAATCAATCTCCGACCAACAAGGTAGGGCTTTTGTACTTTGTACTTTTTATGTATATTGGGGTGGATGCTGAAACCTAAAATATGGAAGGACTGACATCATCTAAAAAGTAAACAGTAGAAGCATAAAATATTTGCAAAACCTTTAGATCACAATTATATTAATATAGCTACATTTTCACAGTTTTATAGATATACAGTATTGTACATCTCTTAACCTTATGAACATAACCACTCTTCAACAATATAAAAAACCTAATAGGCAGAAAAATGTACAGTGATAATAATTTGCTACCATTCACCAGTATATAGATACATACAATATAAAGTATATTCAGTATAAAGAAATATGACAGACATACAAGTGTAATAATCACAATAATTTATTCTAGAAATTGTAGTACCAAAGTCATCCAAAATTACAATGTGTTGCATTCGAAGTGCTCTCTCACGAGAGGTACAGAGCAGAAATTAAGTTGTTAATTGTTGAAAATCTTATGATCCACTCTGTGAAGGTGCACGTACAAACGTCAGCTGAAATATGGCAAGTCACATGAGAACCAAAAAGCATGTGATGACATAACAACATTGGTCTTAACTAGGGTTGGGTAACGAAATCCGGTACCAATATGGCGCCGGTACCTATGTAACCGGTATGTAATAAAACCGAATCAGAACGCGGATTTCGGTGCCTCATTTCGGTGCCATGCCTGAGCGATCGATTGAAATACTTGTCCTCTGGTTCTCCGAAACGGACGTAAGAAGCATCATCACTGGCACCGCACGGGAAAAATAATTCCCCGACTGAGAAAATGCACGTGAACTCAAGTCGGAAAGCTCTAATAATACAAATAACACAAATCTTTGTAGTAACGCGAGTGTCCATGTTGTTTTCACATTCCGACTCAGGAAATGAGAGCATCCGAGGAGCGCGTGAATGCAGTAATTACACTTGCTCTGATGCCTTCCGTTAACTAAGCTAAACATGCTTAAATTAAAATGCCTAAAGCTAAACTTTCCTTGTATTCACATTTCTAAACCTGTTGTCCATTTTTTCTAAACATTATAACCTTTTTACTCCACAACACCAGTCAAATGCTTCCTTTTGTGATCTGATGTGGCTTCTTGTCACAGAATGAGGCAGAAAATATGTTCCATAGGCTACTTTAAAAAGAATACATCGATTAGCAATGGATTATAAATATACTTAATTATTATAAAATACCAGAGATGGCTTGAATAACACAGATAACCTATATTGTTGCAGTCAAGTGTTTATTGTCTTTGTTTTATCATTCAAAACGTTTATATATTCTGTTTACTCAGTTACAGCTATATTAGGGATGCCTTTGTCCATATAAGGGATTTCCTGGAGGGTCATGAGTTCGCTACTTCTGTGACTGGATATGTGGATTTACTGTGCGAGGCCGCCCTCTGGCGTCCAGTATGAATAAAGCATACATCATGTGTTTATAGTGCTAATGGCCAATCCATCATTTTTGGGGGAATTTTTATTTATTTATTTTTTAATAAGTATCGGTTCAGGCACCGTTTAGACACCGGAACGTTTCTTAAGGCAGCAAATTTTTGACGATTGCACGGTTTGATGGTTACAGTCGCTACTGAGGTTGTAGATGAAGATCGTTGAATAAAATCTTGATATGGCTTCATGTGGATAGTGAAAATTTGAATTCCAGTGCAAGAATTATGTTTGTGATCCTTTATTGTTAA